ACAATGGATTCTACGAACATCTAGAGAAGAACGAATTGAAATGCACACTTCAGGAAGTTAAAGCAAAGAACACTGTTTGGACATCTCGGGGGAGGGAGGGGGGAGGCCAAGGAAAAAGGAAGGAGAGCATCCAGGAGAAGGTTCAAAGAAACAACCCTGCTCGGAGAGTCTAGGAGCAGCATAGGAATTCTAAGTCCTGAAAACTCCAGGGCAGGAGGTCAGAGGGTAAGGGAGAGCAAGGTGAGGAGGTGACCACAAAGAGGTGAGGTGGACTCCCTGCAGGGAAACAGTGAGGAAGCCCTTGGTACACTCACATTAACCTTCATCAGGAAGACAGGTCTGTCCAGTAGGTACAGCCTGTGTGTGGTCGGGTGCTTGTGGCATGGGGGAGGGTGAATGAGGGTGAGTAGAGAAGGCTATATGCCAGAAGGGACTGACTGCACTGCATACACGTGGGAGAAAGAGAAAAGAGACGCTTCCGGCCAGACCGCTGCCTTAAGTCGGGCCCTAGGGGACCCCTAAGGGGGCGGGGGGACAGTCAAACCAGTGGACCCCACAGGCCAGGCCGATTTAGAATTTTTAAAATGGATCACACCCACACCCTACACACACAATCTATCCCAGTGAAAAACACCAAAGTAACAAACTAAGCTACCGAAGCACAAAACACACCTAAAGCCAGCGAGGAGGGCGCACACATGTCATTCCTGCCCTTGCGGGGCTGAGACAGGGGGACCCCAGCTACCAGGTCGGCATGAGCTACAGGGCAACGCTCTCCTTCTAAAAACCAACAAGTCCCCTGCAGGGTCTCACGCCTAGAATCCCAGACACCCAGAAGGCAGACAAAAGGCAGGATCACAGTTCAAGGGGTCTCAGGCCAAAACCTTGACAGCTTAAGCTCCAGGAGAAAACTTGCTGCGTGTGGCAGCAGGCGCCTGTCCCCGCAGCTTCCCAGGCAGCACGGAGTGGTCGGGAGGACGGTCACTGTCCATGACTGCCCAGGCCCAAAGGGAGAGTCCCTCGCCTGAAAATACCAAACCAACCTTCCTCGGAGAACCCAGTCAATGAATACATACCTACATACACCTAGGACCACAAATACGTTTACAACTACCTACCGAGTTACAGAAATACACAAAGACCCAAACGCATAAAGAAAGAAAGAAAGGTGTCCGGGAGAAATTAACACGACCCTAAAAGGTCTAAGGGCTTCCCCTGCAAGAATACACAGCCAAGCTACAAAATGCCTGGCCCTGATCCCAAACCCATTTCTCTGCCCCTCACACAAACCAACACACCTCATCCAAAGGCACAAGTGTGCCAGGAAGCAAAGTCAAGCCAGTTTCACCATTCCCCCAGCTTGCCAAGCCCGTTAGAAACACGGACGGACTACAGAGCAAGGCGAACAAGACTAAAGCCTCCTGCCCTTTGGAACAAGAGCCCAGGGAGCCCAGGCACCCATCACAAGCCAAGCCAAGGCAAGCCAGGAAAGCCAGCAAGCAGGCAAACAAGCAAGCTAGGACAGGGAACTCACCTGGAGGTTGACAGGCTTCCGAATACCGAATACGGGGGGACTTGACACAAACCCCTGGGCGGAGGCAAGCCGCCGCCTTGAAGCGCCTGCCTCGCCGCCGCCGCCGCCGCCGCCACCGCCCCCGTCCCGGGCCGGCCGCTAGGGAGGTGCGCCACCCCCAGGCGGGTGCAGGCGCCTTCCCGCCAGCACGGGTCTCCCAGTGGAGGTGGCGCTGCCTCACCTAGCGGCTGCCCGAACGTCCTCCTCCCAAGTGGCCCACTCCACAGCGCCAAGGCCCCAAGCCCTGGCTGCTGCAGCCCATCCGGCCGGGTCCCCTTGCTCACTCACCCGCGAGGCTGGTCGGTTCTCGGGTCCTCCGTGTGCGCGCGCCTGCGCGCCCCCGAGATGCCTGGCCGCTCAGGGCGGCAAAGGCCCCAGGGGGGACTCCCTCAGGCGGCTGGCAGGGAGCCTAAAAAAGACAAGCCTGTCAGAAGGCAGCTTCAAGCGCTGCCCAGAGCCCAGCTGCACAGCGCACGGGGGGGCGGGGGGGTAAACGTCCCAAACACTGAACTTGGCCTGCCCAGAAGGACCCACTGCCTCTCTCCCAGAGGAAGAGCACCAGGAGCCCTCCTCTTCTCTGCATTTCTCCAGGAGCCCCCCGGGCTTGGGTGGCCTGCAGGGACCTGGAGCCCAGCTCCGACCTCCCCCCCACACACCCTCCGCAGCTCTGCAGGGCCCACCTCCCTCCACCTGCTGGCCATCCACTCCCCTGCCCCACCCCACCAGCCCTGCCCTCCCTCAACAGCCCGGGCCAGCCCAGGAAGCTGGGAGGAAGGCTTGGTGGGATCCTTTGCCCAAAACTGCCTCTGTCTGCTATGCACAAACACAGCACTTCACAGATCAGGGCCAGGGCACCTGCCTCAGCTCACTGGAACCCACCAGCCAAGGAACCTGCTCAGCCCTGCCCTCCTCCCCCAAAGCGTTGGTCTCCCCTAAGTTTTCAAAATTGCACCACTCATTCTTTCCAAGCGTCCCCCACACTCCCTGGACATTTTCCAATCCTCTCCTCCTCTTTGCTCCCAGCACCTCCAAGCTACACTCCAGGAGATCCCCACCGTCCCCACCTCACCTTAGAGCAGATCCATGCCTGATGAAGGAAGTCATCCGAGTGTAGTGAAATAAAACTTCTTCTAGCTGAAACGGGCCTCCGAGTGATGCTTCTTACCACGTCTTGCCAACCACGCAACCCCATCCCTGCATGCAAAACCAGACAAACACATGAGTTCACCAAGGCGTGGCCACCTACTCTAAGGCTTCCCTACTTTACAACCCTGCAGGGCCACAAGGACCCCCTGCCGCTGTAGGAAGTCAGAAATACCAAGAGCTCATGGTGTCTGCTAGTCTGGCGGGGAGAGGGCAGGGGGTTGGGGCACCATGACTCAAATGTACCTTCACTGCTTCTTCAGGATGGTTTCCACTACCAAAGTCCAGGGAAGGACGAATTGACACGCACACTGGGGGAACTAAGGAAAAGTACCATTTAACCACACCCTTTGGAAGCCTGAAATACCCAGGGGACAGGGGGTCTTGGGGCCCGGGGTCGGCAATGTACACACTGCTTCTTCCACGGTGGTGACAATGGATTCTACGAACATCTAGAGAAGAACGAATTGAAATGCACACTTCAGGAAGTTAAAGCAAAGAACACTGTTTGGACATCTCGGGGGAGGGAGGGGGGAGGCCAAGGAAAAAGGAAGGAGAGCATCCAGGAGAAGGTTCAAAGAAACAACCCTGCTCGGAGAGTCTAGGAGCAGCATAGGAATTCTAAGTCCTGAAAACTCCAGGGCAGGAGGTCAGAGGGTAAGGGAGAGCAAGGTGAGGAGGTGACCACAAAGAGGTGAGGTGGACTCCCTGCAGGGAAACAGTGAGGAAGCCCTTGGTACACTCACATTAACCTTCATCAGGAAGACAGGTCTGTCCAGTAGGTACAGCCTGTGTGTGGTCGGGTGCTTGTGGCATGGGGGAGGGTGAATGAGGGTGAGTAGAGAAGGCTATATGCCAGAAGGGACTGACTGCACTGCATACACGTGGGAGAAAGAGAAAAGAGACGCTTCCGGCCAGACCGCTGCCTTAAGTCGGGCCCTAGGGGACCCCTAAGGGGGCGGGGGACAGTCAAACCAGTGGACCCCACAGGCCAGGCCGATTTAGAATTTTTAAAATGGATCACACCCACACCCTACACACACAATCTATCCCAGTGAAAAACACCAAAGTAACAAACTAAGCTACCGAAGCACAAAACACACCTAAAGCCAGCGAGGAGGGCGCACACATGTCATTCCTGCCCTTGCGGGGCTGAGACAGGGGGACCCCAGCTACCAGGTCGGCATGAGCTACAGGGCAACGCTCTCCTTCTAAAAACCAACAAGTCCCCTGCAGGGTCTCACGCCTAGAATCCCAGACACCCAGAAGGCAGACAAAAGGCAGGATCACAGTTCAAGGGGTCTCAGGCCAAAACCTTGACAGCTTAAGCTCCAGGAGAAAACTTGCTGCGTGTGGCAGCAGGCGCCTGTCCCCGCAGCTTCCCAGGCAGCACGGAGTGGTCGGGAGGACGGTCACTGTCCATGACTGCCCAGGCCCAAAGGGAGAGTCCCTCGCCTGAAAATACCAAACCAACCTTCCTCGGAGAACCCAGTCAATGAATACATACCTACATACACCTAGGACCACAAATACGTTTACAACTACCTACCGAGTTACAGAAATACACAAAGACCCAAACGCATAAAGAAAGAAAGAAAGGTGTCCGGGAGAAATTAACACGACCCTAAAAGGTCTAAGGGCTTCCCCTGCAAGAATACACAGCCAAGCTACAAAATGCCTGGCCCTGATCCCAAACCCATTTCTCTGCCCCTCACACAAACCAACACACCTCATCCAAAGGCACAAGTGTGCCAGGAAGCAAAGTCAAGCCAGTTTCACCATTCCCCCAGCTTGCCAAGCCCGTTAGAAACACGGACGGACTACAGAGCAAGGCGAACAAGACTAAAGCCTCCTGCCCTTTGGAACAAGAGCCCAGGGAGCCCAGGCACCCATCACAAGCCAAGCCAAGGCAAGCCAGGAAAGCCAGCAAGCAGGCAAACAAGCAAGCTAGGACAGGGAACTCACCTGGAGGTTGACAGGCTTCCGAATACCGAATACGGGGGGACTTGACACAAACCCCTGGGCGGAGGCAAGCCGCCGCCTTGAAGCGCCTGCCTCGCCGCCGCCGCCGCCGCCGCCACCGCCCCCGTCCCGGGCCGGCCGCTAGGGAGGTGCGCCACCCCCAGGCGGGTGCAGGCGCCTTCCCGCCAGCACGGGTCTCCCAGTGGAGGTGGCGCTGCCTCACCTAGCGGCTGCCCGAACGTCCTCCTCCCAAGTGGCCCACTCCACAGCGCCAAGGCCCCAAGCCCTGGCTGCTGCAGCCCATCCGGCCGGGTCCCCTTGCTCACTCACCCGCGAGGCTGGTCGGTTCTCGGGTCCTCCGTGTGCGCGCGCCTGCGCGCCCCCGAGATGCCTGGCCGCTCAGGGCGGCAAAGGCCCCAGGGGGGACTCCCTCAGGCGGCTGGCAGGGAGCCTAAAAAAGACAAGCCTGTCAGAAGGCAGCTTCAAGCGCTGCCCAGAGCCCAGCTGCACAGCGCACGGGGGGGCGGGGGGGTAAACGTCCCAAACACTGAACTTGGCCTGCCCAGAAGGACCCACTGCCTCTCTCCCAGAGGAAGAGCACCAGGAGCCCTCCTCTTCTCTGCATTTCTCCAGGAGCCCCCCGGGCTTGGGTGGCCTGCAGGGACCTGGAGCCCAGCTCCGACCTCCCCCCCACACACCCTCCGCAGCTCTGCAGGGCCCACCTCCCTCCACCTGCTGGCCATCCACTCCCCTGCCCCACCCCACCAGCCCTGCCCTCCCTCAACAGCCCGGGCCAGCCCAGGAAGCTGGGAGGAAGGCTTGGTGGGATCCTTTGCCCAAAACTGCCTCTGTCTGCTATGCACAAACACAGCACTTCACAGATCAGGGCCAGGGCACCTGCCTCAGCTCACTGGAACCCACCAGCCAAGGAACCTGCTCAGCCCTGCCCTCCTCCCCCAAAGCGTTGGTCTCCCCTAAGTTTTCAAAATTGCACCACTCATTCTTTCCAAGCGTCCCCCACACTCCCTGGACATTTTCCAATCCTCTCCTCCTCTTTGCTCCCAGCACCTCCAAGCTACACTCCAGGAGATCCCCACCGTCCCCACCTCACCTTAGAGCAGATCCATGCCTGATGAAGGAAGTCATCCGAGTGTAGTGAAATAAAACTTCTTCTAGCTGAAACGGGCCTCCGAGTGATGCTTCTTACCACGTCTTGCCAACCACGCAACCCCATCCCTGCATGCAAAACCAGACAAACACATGAGTTCACCAAGGCGTGGCCACCTACTCTAAGGCTTCCCTACTTTACAACCCTGCAGGGCCACAAGGACCCCCTGCCGCTGTAGGAAGTCAGAAATACCAAGAGCTCATGGTGTCTGCTAGTCTGGCGGGGAGAGGGCAGGGGGTTGGGGCACCATGACTCAAATGTACCTTCACTGCTTCTTCAGGATGGTTTCCACTACCAAAGTCCAGGGAAGGACGAATTGACACGCACACTGGGGGAACTAAGGAAAAGTACCATTTAACCACACCCTTTGGAAGCCTGAAATACCCAGGGGACAGGGGGTCTTGGGGCCCGGGGTCGGCAATGTACACACTGCTTCTTCCACGGTGGTGACAATGGATTCTACGAACATCTAGAGAAGAACGAATTGAAATGCACACTTCAGGAAGTTAAAGCAAAGAACACTGTTTGGACATCTCGGGGGAGGGAGGGGGGAGGCCAAGGAAAAAGGAAGGAGAGCATCCAGGAGAAGGTTCAAAGAAACAACCCTGCTCGGAGAGTCTAGGAGCAGCATAGGAATTCTAAGTCCTGAAAACTCCAGGGCAGGAGGTCAGAGGGTAAGGGAGAGCAAGGTGAGGAGGTGACCACAAAGAGGTGAGGTGGACTCCCTGCAGGGAAACAGTGAGGAAGCCCTTGGTACACTCACATTAACCTTCATCAGGAAGACAGGTCTGTCCAGTAGGTACAGCCTGTGTGTGGTCGGGTGCTTGTGGCATGGGGGAGGGTGAATGAGGGTGAGTAGAGAAGGCTATATGCCAGAAGGGACTGACTGCACTGCATACACGTGGGAGAAAGAGAAAAGAGACGCTTCCGGCCAGACCGCTGCCTTAAGTCGGGCCCTAGGGGACCCCTAAGGGGGCGGGGGACAGTCAAACCAGTGGACCCCACAGGCCAGGCCGATTTAGAATTTTTAAAATGGATCACACCCACACCCTACACACACAATCTATCCCAGTGAAAAACACCAAAGTAACAAACTAAGCTACCGAAGCACAAAACACACCTAAAGCCAGCGAGGAGGGCGCACACATGTCATTCCTGCCCTTGCGGGGCTGAGACAGGGGGACCCCAGCTACCAGGTCGGCATGAGCTACAGGGCAACGCTCTCCTTCTAAAAACCAACAAGTCCCCTGCAGGGTCTCACGCCTAGAATCCCAGACACCCAGAAGGCAGACAAAAGGCAGGATCACAGTTCAAGGGGTCTCAGGCCAAAACCTTGACAGCTTAAGCTCCAGGAGAAAACTTGCTGCGTGTGGCAGCAGGCGCCTGTCCCCGCAGCTTCCCAGGCAGCACGGAGTGGTCGGGAGGACGGTCACTGTCCATGACTGCCCAGGCCCAAAGGGAGAGTCCCTCGCCTGAAAATACCAAACCAACCTTCCTCGGAGAACCCAGTCAATGAATACATACCTACATACACCTAGGACCACAAATACGTTTACAACTACCTACCGAGTTACAGAAATACACAAAGACCCAAACGCATAAAGAAAGAAAGAAAGGTGTCCGGGAGAAATTAACACGACCCTAAAAGGTCTAAGGGCTTCCCCTGCAAGAATACACAGCCAAGCTACAAAATGCCTGGCCCTGATCCCAAACCCATTTCTCTGCCCCTCACACAAACCAACACACCTCATCCAAAGGCACAAGTGTGCCAGGAAGCAAAGTCAAGCCAGTTTCACCATTCCCCCAGCTTGCCAAGCCCGTTAGAAACACGGACGGACTACAGAGCAAGGCGAACAAGACTAAAGCCTCCTGCCCTTTGGAACAAGAGCCCAGGGAGCCCAGGCACCCATCACAAGCCAAGCCAAGGCAAGCCAGGAAAGCCAGCAAGCAGGCAAACAAGCAAGCTAGGACAGGGAACTCACCTGGAGGTTGACAGGCTTCCGAATACCGAATACGGGGGGACTTGACACAAACCCCTGGGCGGAGGCAAGCCGCCGCCTTGAAGCGCCTGCCTCGCCGCCGCCCGCCGCCGCCGCCGCCACCGCCCCGTCCGGGCCGGCCGCTAGGGAGGTGCGCCACCCCCAGGCGGGTGCAGGCGCCTTCCCGCCAGCACGGGTCTCCCAGTGGAGGTGGCGCTGCCTCACCTAGCGGCTGCCCGAACGTCCTCCTCCCAAGTGGCCCACTCCACAGCGCCAAGGCCCCAAGCCCTGGCTGCTGCAGCCCATCCGGCCGGGTCCCCTTGCTCACTCACCCGCGAGGCTGGTCGGTTCTCGGGTCCTCCGTGTGCGCGCGCCTGCGCGCCCCCGAGATGCCTGGCCGCTCAGGGCGGCAAAGGCCCCAGGGGGGACTCCCTCAGGCGGCTGGCAGGGAGCCTAAAAAAGACAAGCCTGTCAGAAGGCAGCTTCAAGCGCTGCCCAGAGCCCAGCTGCACAGCGCACGGGGGGGCGGGGGGTAAACGTCCCAAACACTGAACTTGGCCTGCCCAGAAGGACCCACTGCCTCTCTCCCAGAGGAAGAGCACCAGGAGCCCTCCTCTTCTCTGCATTTCTCCAGGAGCCCCCCGGGCTTGGGTGGCCTGCAGGGACCTGGAGCCCAGCTCCGACCTCCCCCCCACACACCCTCCGCAGCTCTGCAGGGCCCACCTCCCTCCACCTGCTGGCCATCCACTCCCCTGCCCCACCCCCACCAGCCCTGCCCTCCCTCAACAGCCCGGGCCAGCCCAGGAAGCTGGGAGGAAGGCTTGGTGGGATCCTTTGCCCAAAACTGCCTCTGTCTGCTATGCACAAACACAGCACTTCACAGATCAGGGCCAGGGCACCTGCCTCAGCTCACTGGAACCCACCAGCCAAGGAACCTGCTCAGCCCTGCCCTCCTCCCCCAAAGCGTTGGTCTCCCCTAAGTTTTCAAAATTGCACCACTCATTCTTTCCAAGCGTCCCCCACACTCCCTGGACATTTTCCAATCCTCTCCTCCTCTTTGCTCCCAGCACCTCCAAGCTACACTCCAGGAGATCCCCACCGTCCCCACCTCACCTTAGAGCAGATCCATGCCTGATGAAGGAAGTCATCCGAGTGTAGTGAAATAAAACTTCTTCTAGCTGAAACGGGCCTCCGAGTGATGCTTCTTACCACGTCTTGCCAACCACGCAACCCCATCCCTGCATGCAAAACCAGACAAACACATGAGTTCACCAAGGCGTGGCCACCTACTCTAAGGCTTCCCTACTTTACAACCCTGCAGGGCCACAAGGACCCCCTGCCGCTGTAGGAAGTCAGAAATACCAAGAGCTCATGGTGTCTGCTAGTCTGGCGGGGAGAGGGCAGGGGGTTGGGGCACCATGACTCAAATGTACCTTCACTGCTTCTTCAGGATGGTTTCCACTACCAAAGTCCAGGGAAGGACGAATTGACACGCACACTGGGGGAACTAAGGAAAAGTACCATTTAACCACACCCTTTGGAAGCCTGAAATACCCAGGGGACAGGGGGTCTTGGGGCCCGGGGTCGGCAATGTACACACTGCTTCTTCCACGGTGGTGACAATGGATTCTACGAACATCTAGAGAAGAACGAATTGAAATGCACACTTCAGGAAGTTAAAGCAAAGAACACTGTTTGGACATCTCGGGGGAGGGAGGGGGAGGCCAAGGAAAAAGGAAGGAGAGCATCCAGGAGAAGGTTCAAAGAAACAACCCTGCTCGGAGAGTCTAGGAGCAGCATAGGAATTCTAAGTCCTGAAAACTCCAGGGCAGGAGGTCAGAGGGTAAGGGAGAGCAAGGTGAGGAGGTGACCACAAAGAGGTGAGGTGGACTCCCTGCAGGGAAACAGTGAGGAAGCCCTTGGTACACTCACATTAACCTTCATCAGGAAGACAGGTCTGTCCAGTAGGTACAGCCTGTGTGTGGTCGGGTGCTTGTGGCATGGGGGAGGGTGAATGAGGGTGAGTAGAGAAGGCTATATGCCAGAAGGGACTGACTGCACTGCATACACGTGGGAGAAAGAGAAAAGAGACGCTTCCGGCCAGACCGCTGCCTTAAGTCGGGCCCTAGGGGACCCCTAAGGGGGCGGGGGGACAGTCAAACCAGTGGACCCCACAGGCCAGGCCGATTTAGAATTTTTAAAATGGATCACACCCACACCCTACACACACAATCTATCCCAGTGAAAAACACCAAAGTAACAAACTAAGCTACCGAAGCACAAAACACACCTAAAGCCAGCGAGGAGGGCGCACACATGTCATTCCTGCCCTTGCGGGGCTGAGACAGGGGGACCCCAGCTACCAGGTCGGCATGAGCTACAGGGCAACGCTCTCCTTCTAAAAACCAACAAGTCCCCTGCAGGGTCTCACGCCTAGAATCCCAGACACCCAGAAGGCAGACAAAAGGCAGGATCACAGTTCAAGGGGTCTCAGGCCAAAACCTTGACAGCTTAAGCTCCAGGAGAAAACTTGCTGCGTGTGGCAGCAGGCGCCTGTCCCCGCAGCTTCCCAGGCAGCACGGAGTGGTCGGGAGGACGGTCACTGTCCATGACTGCCCAGGCCCAAAGGGAGAGTCCCTCGCCTGAAAATACCAAACCAACCTTCCTCGGAGAACCCAGTCAATGAATACATACCTACATACACCTAGGACCACAAATACGTTTACAACTACCTACCGAGTTACAGAAATACACAAAGACCCAAACGCATAAAGAAAGAAAGAAAGGTGTCCGGGAGAAATTAACACGACCCTAAAAGGTCTAAGGGCTTCCCCTGCAAGAATACACAGCCAAGCTACAAAATGCCTGGCCCTGATCCCAAACCCATTTCTCTGCCCCTCACACAAACCAACACACCTCATCCAAAGGCACAAGTGTGCCAGGAAGCAAAGTCAAGCCAGTTTCACCATTCCCCCAGCTTGCCAAGCCCGTTAGAAACACGGACGGACTACAGAGCAAGGCGAACAAGACTAAAGCCTCCTGCCCTTTGGAACAAGAGCCCAGGGAGCCCAGGCACCCATCACAAGCCAAGCCAAGGCAAGCCAGGAAAGCCAGCAAGCAGGCAAACAAGCAAGCTAGGACAGGGAACTCACCTGGAGGTTGACAGGCTTCCGAATACCGAATACGGGGGGACTTGACACAAACCCCTGGGCGGAGGCAAGCCGCCGCCTTGAAGCGCCTGCCTCGCCGCCGCCGCCGCCGCCGCCGCCACCGCCCCGTCCCGGGCCGGCCGCTAGGGAGGTGCGCCACCCCCAGGCGGGTGCAGGCGCCTTCCCGCCAGCACGGGTCTCCCAGTGGAGGTGGCGCTGCCTCACCTAGCGGCTGCCCGAACGTCCTCCTCCCAAGTGGCCCACTCCACAGCGCCAAGGCCCCAAGCCCTGGCTGCTGCAGCCCATCCGGCCGGGTCCCCTTGCTCACTCACCCGCGAGGCTGGTCGGTTCTCGGGTCCTCCGTGTGCGCGCGCCTGCGCGCCCCCGAGATGCCTGGCCGCTCAGGGCGGCAAAGGCCCCAGGGGGGACTCCCTCAGGCGGCTGGCAGGGAGCCTAAAAAAGACAAGCCTGTCAGAAGGCAGCTTCAAGCGCTGCCCAGAGCCCAGCTGCACAGCGCACGGGGGGGCGGGGGGGTAAACGTCCCAAACACTGAACTTGGCCTGCCCAGAAGGACCCACTGCCTCTCTCCCAGAGGAAGAGCACCAGGAGCCCTCCTCTTCTCTGCATTTCTCCAGGAGCCCCCGGGCTTGGGTGGCCTGCAGGGACCTGGAGCCCAGCTCCGACCTCCCCCCCACACACCCTCCGCAGCTCTGCAGGGCCCACCTCCCTCCACCTGCTGGCCATCCACTCCCCTGCCCCACCCCCACCAGCCCTGCCCTCCCTCAACAGCCCGGGCCAGCCCAGGAAGCTGGGAGGAAGGCTTGGTGGGATCCTTTGCCCAAAACTGCCTCTGTCTGCTATGCACAAACACAGCACTTCACAGATCAGGGCCAGGGCACCTGCCTCAGCTCACTGGAACCCACCAGCCAAGGAACCTGCTCAGCCCTGCCCTCCTCCCCCAAAGCGTTGGTCTCCCCTAAGTTTTCAAAATTGCACCACTCATTCTTTCCAAGCGTCCCCCACACTCCCTGGACATTTTCCAATCCTCTCCTCCTCTTTGCTCCCAGCACCTCCAAGCTACACTCCAGGAGATCCCCACCGTCCCCACCTCACCTTAGAGCAGATCCATGCCTGATGAAGGAAGTCATCCGAGTGTAGTGAAATAAAACTTCTTCTAGCTGAAACGGGCCTCCGAGTGATGCTTCTTACCACGTCTTGCCAACCACGCAACCCCATCCCTGCATGCAAAACCAGACAAACACATGAGTTCACCAAGGCGTGGCCACCTACTCTAAGGCTTCCCTACTTTACAACCCTGCAGGGCCACAAGGACCCCTGCCGCTGTAGGAAGTCAGAAATACCAAGAGCTCATGGTGTCTGCTAGTCTGGCGGGGAGAGGGCAGGGGGTTGGGGCACCATGACTCAAATGTACCTTCACTGCTTCTTCAGGATGGTTTCCACTACCAAAGTCCAGGGAAGGACGAATTGACACGCACACTGGGGGAACTAAGGAAAAGTACCATTTAACCACACCCTTTGGAAGCCTGAAATACCCAGGGGACAGGGGGTCTTGGGGCCCGGGGTCGGCAATGTACACACTGCTTCTTCCACGGTGGTGACAATGGATTCTACGAACATCTAGAGAAGAACGAATTGAAATGCACACTTCAGGAAGTTAAAGCAAAGAACACTGTTTGGACATCTCGGGGGAGGGAGGGGGGAGGCCAAGGAAAAAGGAAGGAGAGCATCCAGGAGAAGGTTCAAAGAAACAACCCTGCTCGGAGAGTCTAGGAGCAGCATAGGAATTCTAAGTCCTGAAAACTCCAGGGCAGGAGGTCAGAGGGTAAGGGAGAGCAAGGTGAGGAGGTGACCACAAAGAGGTGAGGTGGACTCCCTGCAGGGAAACAGTGAGGAAGCCCTTGGTACACTCACATTAACCTTCATCAGGAAGACAGGTCTGTCCAGTAGGTACAGCCTGTGTGTGGTCGGGTGCTTGTGGCATGGGGGAGGGTGAATGAGGGTGAGTAGAGAAGGCTATATGCCAGAAGGGACTGACTGCACTGCATACACGTGGGAGAAAGAGAAAAGAGACGCTTCCGGCCAGACCGCTGCCTTAAGTCGGGCCCTAGGGGACCCCTAAGGGGGCGGGGGGACAGTCAAACCAGTGGACCCCACAGGCCAGGCCGATTTAGAATTTTTAAAATGGATCACACCCACACCCTACACACACAATCTATCCCAGTGAAAAACACCAAAGTAACAAACTAAGCTACCGAAGCACAAAACACACCTAAAGCCAGCGAGGAGGGCGCACACATGTCATTCCTGCCCTTGCGGGGCTGAGACAGGGGGACCCCAGCTACCAGGTCGGCATGAGCTACAGGGCAACGCTCTCCTTCTAAAAACCAACAAGTCCCCTGCAGGGTCTCACGCCTAGAATCCCAGACACCCAGAAGGCAGACAAAAGGCAGGATCACAGTTCAAGGGGTCTCAGGCCAAAACCTTGACAGCTTAAGCTCCAGGAGAAAACTTGCTGCGTGTGGCAGCAGGCGCCTGTCCCCGCAGCTTCCCAGGCAGCACGGAGTGGTCGGGAGGACGGTCACTGTCCATGACTGCCCAGGCCCAAAGGGAGAGTCCCTCGCCTGAAAATACCAAACCAACCTTCCTCGGAGAACCCAGTCAATGAATACATACCTACATACACCTAGGACCACAAATACGTTTACAACTACCTACCGAGTTACAGAAATACACAAAGACCCAAACGCATAAAGAAAGAAAGAAAGGTGTCCGGGAGAAATTAACACGACCCTAAAAGGTCTAAGGGCTTCCCCTGCAAGAATACACAGCCAAGCTACAAAATGCCTGGCCCTGATCCCAAACCCATTTCTCTGCCCCTCACACAAACCAACACACCTCATCCAAAGGCACAAGTGTGCCAGGAAGCAAAGTCAAGCCAGTTTCACCATTCCCCCAGCTTGCCAAGCCCGTTAGAAACACGGACGGACTACAGAGCAAGGCGAACAAGACTAAAGCCTCCTGCCCTTTGGAACAAGAGCCCAGGGAGCCCAGGCACCCATCACAAGCCAAGCCAAGGCAAGCCAGGAAAGCCAGCAAGCAGGCAAACAAGCAAGCTAGGACAGGGAACTCACCTGGAGGTTGACAGGCTTCCGAATACCGAATACGGGGGGACTTGACACAAACCCCTGGGCGGAGGCAAGCCGCCGCCTTGAAGCGCCTGCCTCGCCGCCGCCGCCGCCGCCGCCGCCACCGCCCCGTCCGGGCCGGCCGCTAGGGAGGTGCGCCACCCCCAGGCGGGTGCAGGCGCCTTCCCGCCAGCACGGGTCTCCCAGTGGAGGTGGCGCTGCCTCACCTAGCGGCTGCCCGAACGTCCTCCTCCCAAGTGGCCCACTCCACAGCGCCAAGGCCCCAAGCCCTGGCTGCTGCAGCCCATCGGCCGGGTCCCCTTGCTCACTCACCCGCGAGGCTGGTCGGTTCTCGGGTCCTCCGTGTGCGCGCGCCTGCGCGCCCCCGAGATGCCTGGCCGCTCAGGGCGGCAAAGGCCCCAGGGGGGACTCCCTCAGGCGGCTGGCAGGGAGCCTAAAAAAGACAAGCCTGTCAGAAGGCAGCTTCAAGCGCTGCCCAGAGCCCAGCTGCACAGCGCACGGGGGGGCGGGGGGGTAAACGTCCCAAACACTGAACTTGGCCTGCCCAGAAGGACCCACTGCCTCTCTCCCAGAGGAAGAGCACCAGGAGCCCTCCTCTTCTCTGCATTTCTCCAGGAGCCCCCGGGCTTGGGTGGCCTGCAGGGACCTGGAGCCCAGCTCCGACCTCCCCCCACACACCCTCCGCAGCTCTGCAGGGCCCACCTCCCTCCACCTGCTGGCCATCCACTCCCCTGCCCCACCCCCACCAGCCCTGCCCTCCCTCAACAGCCCGGGCCAGCCCAGGAAGCTGGGAGGAAGGCTTGGTGGGATCCTTTGCCCAAAACTGCCTCTGTCTGCTATGCACAAACACAGCACTTCACAGATCAGGGCCAGGGCACCTGCCTCAGCTCACTGGAACCCACCAGCCAAGGAACCTGCTCAGCCCTGCCCTCCTCCCCCAAAGCGTTGGTCTCCCCTAAGTTTTCAAAATTGCACCACTCATTCTTTCCAAGCGTCCCCCACACTCCCTGGACATTTTCCAATCCTCTCCTCCTCTTTGCTCCCAGCACCTCCAAGCTACACTCCAGGAGATCCCCACCGTCCCCACCTCACCTTAGAGCAGATCCATGCCTGATGAAGGAAGTCATCCGAGTGTAGTGAAATAAAACTTCTTCTAGCTGAAACGGGCCTCCGAGTGATGCTTCTTACCACGTCTTGCCAACCACGCAACCCCATCCCTGCATGCAAAACCAGACAAACACATGAGTTCACCAAGGCGTGGCCACCTACTCTAAGGCTTCCCTACTTTACAACCCTGCAGGGCCACAAGGACCCCCTGCCGCTGTAGGAAGTCAGAAATACCAAGAGCTCATGGTGTCTGCTAGTCTGGCGGGGAGAGGGCAGGGGGTTGGGGCACCATGACTCAAATGTACCTTCACTGCTTCTTCAGGATGGTTTCCACTACCAAAGTCCAGGGAAGGACGAATTGACACGCACACTGGGGGAACTAAGGAAAAGTACCATTTAACCACACCCTTTGGAAGCCTGAAATACCCAGGGGACAGGGGGTCTTGGGGCCCGGGGTCGGCAATGTACACACTGCTTCTTCCACGGTGGTGACAATGGATTCTACGAACATCTAGAGAAGAACGAATTGAAATGCACACTTCAGGAAGTTAAAGCAAAGAACACTGTTTGGACATCTCGGGGGAGGGAGGGGGGAGGCCAAGGAAAAAGGAAGGAGAGCATCCAGGAGAAGGTTCAAAGAAACAACCCTGCTCGGAGAGTCTAGGAGCAGCATAGGAATTCTAAGTCCTGAAAACTCCAGGGCAGGAGGTCAGAGGGTAAGGGAGAGCAAGGTGAGGAGGTGACCACAAAGAGGTGAGGTGGACTCCCTGCAGGGAAACAGTGAGGAAGCCCTTGGTACACTCACATTAACCTTCATCAGGAAGACAGGTCTGTCCAGTAGGTACAGCCTGTGTGTGGTCGGGTGCTTGTGGCATGGGGGAGGGTGAATGAGGGTGAGTAGAGAAGGCTATATGCCAGAAGGGACTGACTGCACTGCATACACGTGGGAGAAAGAGAAAAGAGACGCTTCCGGCCAGACCGCTGCCTTAAGTCGGGCCCTAGGGGACCCCTAAGGGGGCGGGGGGACAGTCAAACCAGTGGACCCCACAGGCCAGGCCGATTTAGAATTTTTAAAATGGATCACACCCACACCCTACACACACAATCTATCCCAGTGAAAAACACCAAAGTAACAAACTAAGCTACCGAAGCACAAAACACACCTAAAGCCAGCGAGGAGGGCGCACACATGTCATTCCTGCCCTTGCGGGGCTGAGACAGGGGGACCCCAGCTACCAGGTCGGCATGAGCTACAGGGCAACGCTCTCCTTCTAAAAACCAACAAGTCCCCTGCAGGGTCTCACGCCTAGAATCCCAGACACCCAGAAGGCAGACAAAAGGCAGGATCACAGTTCAAGGGGTCTCAGGCCAAAACCTTGACAGCTTAAGCTCCAGGAGAAAACTTGCTGCGTGTGGCAGCAGGCGCCTGTCCCCGCAGCTTCCCAGGCAGCACGGAGTGGTCGGGAGGACGGTCACTGTCCATGACTGCCCAGGCCCAAAGGGAGAGTCCCTCGCCTGAAAATACCAAACCAACCTTCCTCGGAGAACCCAGTCAATGAATACATACCTACATACACCTAGGACCACAAATACGTTTACAACTACCTACCGAGTTACAGAAATACACAAAGACCCAAACGCATAAAGAAAGAAAGAAAGGTGTCCGGGAGAAATTAACACGACCCTAAAAGGTCTAAGGGCTTCCCCTGCAAGAATACACAGCCAAGCTACAAAATGCCTGGCCCTGATCCCAAACCCATTTCTCTGCCCCTCACACAAACCAACACACCTCATCCAAAGGCACAAGTGTGCCAGGAAGCAAAGTCAAGCCAGTTTCACCATTCCCCCAGCTTGCCAAGCCCGTTAGAAACACGGACGGACTACAGAGCAAGGCGAACAAGACTAAAGCCTCCTGCCCTTTGGAACAAGAGCCCAGGGAGCCCAGGCACCCATCACAAGCCAAGCCAAGGCAAGCCAGGAAAGCCAGCAAGCAGGCAAACAAGCAAGCTAGGACAGGGAACTCACCTGGAGGTTGACAGGCTTCCGAATACCGAATACGGGGGGACTTGACACAAACCCCTGGGCGGAGGCAAGCCGCCGCCTTGAAGCGCCTGCCTCGCCGCCGCCGCCGCCGCCGCCGCCACCGCCCCGTCCGGGCCGGCCGCTAGGGAGGTGCGCCACCCCCAGGCGGGTGCAGGCGCCTTCCCGCCAGCACGGGTCTCCCAGTGGAGGTGGCGCTGCCTCACCTAGCGGCTGCCCGAACGTCCTCCTCCCAAGTGGCCCACTCCACAGCGCCAAGGCCCCAAGCCCTGGCTGCTGCAGCCCATCGGCCGGGTCCCCTTGCTCACTCACCCGCGAGGCTGGTCGGTTCTCGGGTCCTCCGTGTGCGCGCGCCTGCGCGCCCCCGAGATGCCTGGCCGCTCAGGGCGGCAAAGGCCCCAGGGGGGACTCCCTCAGGCGGCTGGCAGGGAGCCTAAAAAAGACAAGCCTGTCAGAAGGCAGCTTCAAGCGCTGCCCAGAGCCCAGCTGCACAGCGCACGGGGGGGCGGGGGGTAAACGTCCCAAACACTGAACTTGGCCTGCCCAGAAGGACCCACTGCCTCTCTCCCAGAGGAAGAGCACCAGGAGCCCTCCTCTTCTCTGCATTTCTCCAGGAGCCCCCGGGCTTGGGTGGCCTGCAGGGACCTGGAGCCCAGCTCCGACCTCCCCCCCACACACCCTCCGCAGCTCTGCAGGGCCCACCTCCCTCCACCTGCTGGCCATCCACTCCCCTGCCCCACCCCCACCAGCCCTGCCCTCCCTCAACAGCCCGGGCCAGCCCAGGAAGCTGGGAGGAAGGCTTGGTGGGATCCTTTGCCCAAAACTGCCTCTGTCTGCTATGCACAAACACAGCACTTCACAGATCAGGGCCAGGGCACCTGCCTCAGCTCACTGGAACCCACCAGCCAAGGAACCTGCTCAGCCCTGCCCTCCTCCCCCAAAGCGTTGGTCTCCCCTAAGTTTTCAAAATTGCACCACTCATTCTTTCCAAGCGTCCCCCACACTCCCTGGACATTTTCCAATCCTCTCCTCCTCTTTGCTCCCAGCACCTCCAAGCTACACTCCAGGAGATCCCCACCGTCCCCACCTCACCTTAGAGCAGATCCATGCCTGATGAAGGAAGTCATCCGAGTGTAGTGAAATAAAACTTCTTCTAGCTGAAACGGGCCTCCGAGTGATGCTTCTTACCACGTCTTGCCAACCACGCAACCCCATCCCTGCATGCAAAACCAGACAAACACATGAGTTCACCAAGGCGTGGCCACCTACTCTAAGGCTTCCCTACTTTACAACCCTGCAGGGCCACAAGGACCCCCTGCCGCTGTAGGAAGTCAGAAATACCAAGAGCTCATGGTGTCTGCTAGTCTGGCGGGGAGAGGGCAGGGGGTTGGGGCACCATGACTCAAATGTACCTTCACTGCTTCTTCAGGATGGTTTCCACTACCAAAGTCCAGGGAAGGACGAATTGACACGCACACTGGGGGAACTAAGGAAAAGTACCATTTAACCACACCCTTTGGAAGCCTGAAATACCCAGGGGACAGGGGGTCTTGGGGCCCGGGGTCGGCAATGTACACACTGCTTCTTCCACGGTGGTGACAATGGATTCTACGAACATCTAGAGAAGAACGAATTGAAATGCACACTTCAGGAAGTTAAAGCAAAGAACACTGTTTGGACATCTCGGGGGAGGGAGGGGGGAGGCCAAGGAAAAAGGAAGGAGAGCATCCAGGAGAAGGTTCAAAGAAACAACCCTGCTCGGAGAGTCTAGGAGCAGCATAGGAATTCTAAGTCCTGAAAACTCCAGGGCAGGAGGTCAGAGGGTAAGGGAGAGCAAGGTGAGGAGGTGACCACAAAGAGGTGAGGTGGACTCCCTGCAGGGAAACAGTGAGGAAGCCCTTGGTACACTCACATTAACCTTCATCAGGAAGACAGGTCTGTCCAGTAGGTACAGCCTGTGTGTGGTCGGGTGCTTGTGGCATGGGGGAGGGTGAATGAGGGTGAGTAGAGAAGGCTATATGCCAGAAGGGACTGACTGCACTGCATACACGTGGGAGAAAGAGAAAAGAGACGCTTCCGGCCAGACCGCTGCCTTAAGTCGGGCCCTAGGGGACCCCTAAGGGGGCGGGGGGACAGTCAAACCAGTGGACCCCACAGGCCAGGCCGATTTAGAATTTTTAAAATGGATCACACCCACACCCTACACACACAATCTATCCCAGTGAAAAACACCAAAGTAACAAACTAAGCTACCGAAGCACAAAACACACCTAAAGCCAGCGAGGAGGGCGCACACATGTCATTCCTGCCCTTGCGGGGCTGAGACAGGGGGACCCCAGCTACCAGGTCGGCATGAGCTACAGGGCAACGCTCTCCTTCTAAAAACCAACAAGTCCCCTGCAGGGTCTCACGCCTAGAATCCCAGACACCCAGAAGGCAGACAAAAGGCAGGATCACAGTTCAAGGGGTCTCAGGCCAAAACCTTGACAGCTTAAGCTCCAGGAGAAAACTTGCTGCGTGTGGCAGCAGGCGCCTGTCCCCGCAGCTTCCCAGGCAGCACGGAGTGGTCGGGAGGACGGTCACTGTCCATGACTGCCCAGGCCCAAAGGGAGAGTCCCTCGCCTGAAAATACCAAACCAACCTTCCTCGGAGAACCCAGTCAATGAATACATACCTACATACACCTAGGACCACAAATACGTTTACAACTACCTACCGAGTTACAGAAATACACAAAGACCCAAACGCATAAAGAAAGAAAGAAAGGTGTCCGGGAGAAATTAACACGACCCTAAAAGGTCTAAGGGCTTCCCCTGCAAGAATACACAGCCAAGCTACAAAATGCCTGGCCCTGATCCCAAACCCATTTCTCTGCCCCTCACACAAACCAACACACCTCATCCAAAGGCACAAGTGTGCCAGGAAGCAAAGTCAAGCCAGTTTCACCATTCCCCAGCTTGCCAAGCCCGTTAGAAACACGGACGGACTACAGAGCAAGGCGAACAAGACTAAAGCCTCCTGCCCTTTGGAACAAGAGCCCAGGGAGCCCAGGCACCCATCACAAGCCAAGCCAAGGCAAGCCAGGAAAGCCAGCAAGCAGGCAAACAAGCAAGCTAGGACAGGGAACTCACCTGGAGGTTGACAGGCTTCCGAATACCGAATACGGGGGGACTTGACACAAACCCCTGGGCGGAGGCAAGCCGCCGCCTTGAAGCGCCTGCCTCGCCGCCGCCGCCGCCGCCGCCGCCACCGCCCCGTCCGGGCCGGCCGCTAGGGAGGTGCGCCACCCCCAGGCGGGTGCAGGGGCCTTCCCGCCAGCACGGGTCTCCCAGTGGAGGTGGCGCTGCCTCACCTAGCGGCTGCCCGAACGTCCTCCTCCCAAGTGGCCCACTCCACAGCGCCAAGGCCCCAAGCCCTGGCTGCTGCAGCCCATCCGGCCGGGTCCCCTTGCTCACTCACCCGCGAGGCTGGTCGGTTCTCGGGTCCTCCGTGTGCGCGCGCCTGCGCGCCCCCGAGATGCCTGGCCGCTCAGGGCGGCAAAGGCCCCAGGGGGGACTCCCTCAGGCGGCTGGCAGGGAGCCTAAAAAAGACAAGCCTGTCAGAAGGCAGCTTCAAGCGCTGCCCAGAGCCCAGCTGCACAGCGCACGGGGGGGCGGGGGGGTAAACGTCCCAAACACTGAACTTGGCCTGCCCAGAAGGACCCACTGCCTCTCTCCCAGAGGAAGAGCACCAGGAGCCCTCCTCTTCTCTGCATTTCTCCAGGAGCCCCCGGGCTTGGGTGGCCTGCAGGGACCTGGAGCCCAGCTCCGACCTCCCCCCCACACACCCTCCGCAGCTCTGCAGGGCCCACCTCCCTCCACCTGCTGGCCATCCACTCCCCTGCCCCACCCCCACCAGCCCTGCCCTCCCTCAACAGCCCGGGCCAGCCCAGGAAGCTGGGAGGAAGGCTTGGTGGGATCCTTTGCCCAAAACTGCCTCTGTCTGCTATGCACAAACACAGCACTTCACAGATCAGGGCCAGGGCACCTGCCTCAGCTCACTGGAACCCACCAGCCAAGGAACCTGCTCAGCCCTGCCCTCCTCCCCCAAAGCGTTGGTCTCCCCTAAGTTTTCAAAATTGCACCACTCATTCTTTCCAAGCGTCCCCCACACTCCCTGGACATTTTCCAATCCTCTCCTCCTCTTTGCTCCCAGCACCTCCAAGCTACACTCCAGGAGATCCCCACCGTCCCCACCTCACCTTAGAGCAGATCCATGCCTGATGAAGGAAGTCATCCGAGTGTAGTGAAATAAAACTTCTTCTAGCTGAAACGGGCCTCCGAGTGATGCTTCTTACCACGTCTTGCCAACCACGCAACCCCATCCCTGCATGCAAAACCAGACAAACACATGAGTTCACCAAGGCGTGGCCACCTACTCTAAGGCTTCCCTACTTTACAACCCTGCAGGGCCACAAGGACCCCCTGCCGCTGTAGGAAGTCAGAAATACCAAGAGCTCATGGTGTCTGCTAGTCTGGCGGGGAGAGGGCAGGGGGTTGGGGCACCATGACTCAAATGTACCTTCACTGCTTCTTCAGGATGGTTTCCACTACCAAAGTCCAGGGAAGGACGAATTGACACGCACACTGGGGGAACTAAGGAAAAGTACCATTTAACCACACCCTTTGGAAGCCTGAAATACCCAGGGGACAGGGGGTCTTGGGGCCCGGGGTCGGCAATGTACACACTGCTTCTTCCACGGTGGTGACAATGGATTCTACGAACATCTAGAGAAGAACGAATTGAAATGCACACTTCAGGAAGTTAAAGCAAAGAACACTGTTTGGACATCTCGGGGGAGGGAGGGGGGAGGCCAAGGAAAAAGGAAGGAGAGCATCCAGGAGAAGGTTCAAAGAAACAACCCTGCTCGGAGAGTCTAGGAGCAGCATAGGAATTCTAAGTCCTGAAAACTCCAGGGCAGGAGGTCAGAGGGTAAGGGAGAGCAAGGTGAGGAGGTGACCACAAAGAGGTGAGGTGGACTCCCTGCAGGGAAACAGTGAGGAAGCCCTTGGTACACTCACATTAACCTTCATCAGGAAGACAGGTCTGTCCAGTAGGTACAGCCTGTGTGTGGTCGGGTGCTTGTGGCATGGGGGAGGGTGAATGAGGGTGAGTAGAGAAGGCTATATGCCAGAAGGGACTGACTGCACTGCATACACGTGGGAGAAAGAGAAAAGAGACGCTTCCGGCCAGACCGCTGCCTTAAGTCGGGCCCTAGGGGACCCCTAAGGGGGCGGGGGGACAGTCAAACCAGTGGACCCCACAGGCCAGGCCGATTTAGAATTTTTAAAATGGATCACACCCACACCCTACACACACAATCTATCCCAGTGAAAAACACCAAAGTAACAAACTAAGCTACCGAAGCACAAAACACACCTAAAGCCAGCGAGGAGGGCGCACACATGTCATTCCTGCCCTTGCGGGGCTGAGACAGGGGGACCCCAGCTACCAGGTCGGCATGAGCTACAGGGCAACGCTCTCCTTCTAAAAACCAACAAGTCCCCTGCAGGGTCTCACGCCTAGAATCCCAGACACCCAGAAGGCAGACAAAAGGCAGGATCACAGTTCAAGGGGTCTCAGGCCAAAACCTTGACAGCTTAAGCTCCAGGAGAAAACTTGCTGCGTGTGGCAGCAGGCGCCTGTCCCCGCAGCTTCCCAGGCAGCACGGAGTGGTCGGGAGGACGGTCACTGTCCATGACTGCCCAGGCCCAAAGGGAGAGTCCCTCGCCTGAAAATACCAAACCAACCTTCCTCGGAGAACCCAGTCAATGAATACATACCTACATACACCTAGGACCACAAATACGTTTACAACTACCTACCGAGTTACAGAAATACACAAAGACCCAAACGCATAAAGAAAGAAAGAAAGGTGTCCGGGAGAAATTAACACGACCCTAAAAGGTCTAAGGGCTTCCCCTGCAAGAATACACAGCCAAGCTACAAAATGCCTGGCCCTGATCCCAAACCCATTTCTCTGCCCCTCACACAAACCAACACACCTCATCCAAAGGCACAAGTGTGCCAGGAAGCAAAGTCAAGCCAGTTTCACCATTCCCCCAGCTTGCCAAGCCCGTTAGAAACACGGACGACTACAGAGCAAGGCGAACAAGACTAAAGCCTCCTGCCCTTTGGAACAAGAGCCCAGGGAGCCCAGGCACCCATCACAAGCCAAGCCAAGGCAAGCCAGGAAAGCCAGCAAGCAGGCAAACAAGCAAGCTAGGACAGGGAACTCACCTGGAGGTTGACAGGCTTCCGAATACCGAATACGGGGGGACTTGACACAAACCCCTGGGCGGAGGCAAGCCGCCGCCTTGAAGCGCCTGCCTCGCCGCCGCCGCCGCCGCCGCCACCGCCCCGTCCCGGGCCGGCCGCTAGGGAGGTGCGCCACCCCCAGGCGGGTGCAGGCGCCTTCCCGCCAGCACGGGTCTCCCAGTGGAGGTGGCGCTGCCTCACCTAGCGGCTGCCCGAACGTCCTCCTCCCAAGTGGCCCACTCCACAGCGCCAAGGCCCCAAGCCCTGGCTGCTGCAGCCCATCCGGCCGGGTCCCCTTGCTCACTCACCCGCGAGGCTGGTCGGTTCTCGGGTCCTCCGTGTGCGCGCGCCTGCGCGCCCCCGAGATGCCTGGCCGCTCAGGGCGGCAAAGGCCCCAGGGGGGACTCCCTCAGGCGGCTGGCAGGGAGCCTAAAAAAGACAAGCCTGTCAGAAGGCAGCTTCAAGCGCTGCCCAGAGCCCAGCTGCACAGCGCACGGGGGGGGGGGGGTAAACGTCCCAAACACTGAACTTGGCCTGCCCAGAAGGACCCACTGCCTCTCTCCCAGAGGAAGAGCACCAGGAGCCCTCCTCTTCTCTGCATTTCTCCAGGAGCCCCCGGGCTTGGGTGGCCTGCAGGGACCTGGAGCCCAGCTCCGACCTCCCCCCACACACCCTCCGCAGCTCTGCAGGGCCCACCTCCCTCCACCTGCTGGCCATCCACTCCCCTGCCCCACCCCCACCAGCCCTGCCCTCCCTCAACAGCCCGGGCCAGCCCAGGAAGCTGGGAGGAAGGCTTGGTGGGATCCTTTGCCCAAAACTGCCTCTGTCTGCTATGCACAAACACAGCACTTCACAGATCAGGGCCAGGGCACCTGCCTCAGCTCACTGGAACCCACCAGCCAAGGAACCTGCTCAGCCCTGCCCTCCTCCCCCAAAGCGTTGGTCTCCCCTAAGTTTTCAAAATTGCACCACTCATTCTTTCCAAGCGTCCCCACACTCCCTGGACATTTTCCAATCCTCTCCTCCTCTTTGCTCCCAGCACCTCCAAGCTACACTCCAGGAGATCCCCACCGTCCCCACCTCACCTTAGAGCAGATCCATGCCTGATGAAGGAAGTCATCCGAGTGTAGTGAAATAAAACTTCTTCTAGCTGAAACGGGCCTCCGAGTGATGCTTCTTACCACGTCTTGCCAACCACGCAACCCCATCCCTGCATGCAAAACCAGACAAACACATGAGTTCACCAAGGCGTGGCCACCTACTCTAAGGCTTCCCTACTTTACAACCCTGCAGGGCCACAAGGACCCCCTGCCGCTGTAGGAAGTCAGAAATACCAAGAGCTCATGGTGTCTGCTAGTCTGGCGGGGAGAGGGCAGGGGGTTGGGGCACCATGACTCAAATGTACCTTCACTGCTTCTTCAGGATGGTTTCCACTACCAAAGTCCAGGGAAGGACGAATTGACACGCACACTGGGGGAACTAAGGAAAAGTACCATTTAACCACACCCTTTGGAAGCCTGAAATACCCAGGGGACAGGGGGTCTTGGGGCCCGGGGTCGGCAATGTACACACTGCTTCTTCCACGGTGGTGACAATGGATTCTACGAACATCTAGAGAAGAACGAATTGAAATGCACACTTCAGGAAGTTAAAGCAAAGAACACTGTTTGGACATCTCGGGGGAGGGAGGGGGGAGGCCAAGGAAAAAGGAAGGAGAGCATCCAGGAGAAGGTTCAAAGAAACAACCCTGCTCGGAGAGTCTAGGAGCAGCATAGGAATTCTAAGTCCTGAAAACTCCAGGGCAGGAGGTCAGAGGGTAAGGGAGAGCAAGGTGAGGAGGTGACCACAAAGAGGTGAGGTGGACTCCCTGCAGGGAAACAGTGAGGAAGCCCTTGGTACACTCACATTAACCTTCATCAGGAAGACAGGTCTGTCCAGTAGGTACAGCCTGTGTGTGGTCGGGTGCTTGTGGCATGGGGGAGGGTGAATGAGGGTGAGTAGAGAAGGCTATATGCCAGAAGGGACTGACTGCACTGCATACACGTGGGAGAAAGAGAAAAGAGACGCTTCCGGCCAGACCGCTGCCTTAAGTCGGGCCCTAGGGGACCCCTAAGGGGGCGGGGGACAGTCAAACCAGTGGACCCCACAGGCCAGGCCGATTTAGAATTTTTAAAATGGATCACACCCACACCCTACACACACAATCTATCCCAGTGAAAAACACCAAAGTAACAAACTAAGCTACCGAAGCACAAAACACACCTAAAGCCAGCGAGGAGGGCGCACACATGTCATTCCTGCCCTTGCGGGGCTGAGACAGGGGGACCCCAGCTACCAGGTCGGCATGAGCTACAGGGCAACGCTCTCCTTCTAAAAACCAACAAGTCCCCTGCAGGGTCTCACGCCTAGAATCCCAGACACCCAGAAGGCAGACAAAAGGCAGGATCACAGTTCAAGGGGTCTCAGGCCAAAACCTTGACAGCTTAAGCTCCAGGAGAAAACTTGCTGCGTGTGGCAGCAGGCGCCTGTCCCCGCAGCTTCCCAGGCAGCACGGAGTGGTCGGGAGGACGGTCACTGTCCATGACTGCCCAGGCCCAAAGGGAGAGTCCCTCGCCTGAAAATACCAAACCAACCTTCCTCGGAGAACCCAGTCAATGAATACATACCTACATACACCTAGGACCACAAATACGTTTACAACTACCTACCGAGTTACAGAAATACACAAAGACCCAAACGCATAAAGAAAGAAAGAAAGGTGTCCGGGAGAAATTAACACGACCCTAAAAGGTCTAAGGGCTTCCCCTGCAAGAATACACAGCCAAGCTACAAAATGCCTGGCCCTGATCCCAAACCCATTTCTCTGCCCCTCACACAAACCAACACACCTCATCCAAAGGCACAAGTGTGCCAGGAAGCAAAGTCAAGCCAGTTTCACCATTCCCCCAGCTTGCCAAGCCCGTTAGAAACACGGACGGACTACAGAGCAAGGCGAACAAGACTAAAGCCTCCTGCCCTTTGGAACAAGAGCCCAGGGAGCCCAGGCACCCATCACAAGCCAAGCCAAGGCAAGCCAGGAAAGCCAGCAAGCAGGCAAACAAGCAAGCTAGGACAGGGAACTCACCTGGAGGTTGACAGGCTTCCGAATACCGAATACGGGGGGACTTGACACAAACCCCTGGGCGGAGGCAAGCCGCCGCCTTGAAGCGCCTGCCTCGCCGCCGCCGCCGCCGCCGCCGCCACCGCCCCCGTCCCGGGCCGGCCGCTAGGGAGGTGCGCCACCCCCCAGGCGGGTGCAGGCGCCTTCCCGCCAGCACGGGTCTCCCAGTGGAGGTGGCGCTGCCTCACCTAGCGGCTGCCCGAACGTCCTCCTCCCAAGTGGCCCACTCCACAGCGCCGAGGCCCCAAGCCCTGGCTGCTGCAGCCCATCCGGCCGGGTCCCCTTGCTCACTCACCCGCGAGGCTGGTCGGTTCTCGGGTCCTCCGTGTGCGCGCGCCTGCGCGCCCCCGAGATGCCTGGCCGCTCAGGGCGGCAAAGGCCCCAGGGGGACTCCCTCAGGCGGCTGGCAGGGAGCCTAAAAAAGACAAGCCTGTCAGAAGGCAGCTTCAAGCGCTGCCCAGAGCCCAGCTGCACAGCGCACGGGGGGGCGGGGGGGTAAACGTCCCAAACACTGAACTTGGCCTGCCCAGAAGGACCCACTGCTCTCTCCCAGAGGAAGAGCACCAGGAGCCCTCCTCTTCTCTGCATTTCTCCAGGAGCCCCCCGGGCTTGGGTGGCCTGCAGGGACCTGGAGCCCAGCTCCGACCTCTCCCCCCCCACCCTCCGCAGCTCTGCAGGGCCCACCTCCCTCCACCTGCTGGCCATCCACTCCCCTGCCCCACCCCCACCAGCCCTGCCCTCCCTCAACAGCCCGGGCCAGCCCAGGAAGCTGGGAGGAAGGCTTGGTGGGATCCTTTGCCCAAAACTGCCTCTGTCTGCTATGCACAAACACAGCACTTCACAGATCAGGGCCAGGGCACCTGCCTCAGCTCACTGGAACCCACCAGCCAAGGAACCTGCTCAGCCCTGCCCTCCTCCCCCAAAGCGTTGGTCTCCCCTAAGTTTTCAAAATTGCACCACTCATTCTTTCCAAGCGTCCCCCACACTCCCTGGACATTTTCCAATCCTCTCCTCCTCTTTGCTCCCAGCACCTCCAAGCTACACTCCAGGAGATCCCCACCGTCCCCACCTCACCTTAGAGCAGATCCATGCCTGATGAAGGAAGTCATCCGAGTGTAGTGAAATAAAACTTCTTCTAGCTGAAACGGGCCTCCGAGTGATGCTTCTTACCACGTCTTGCCAACCACGCAACCCCATCCCTGCATGCAAAACCAGACAAACACATGAGTTCACCAAGGCGTGGCCACCTACTCTAAGGCTTCTCTACTTTACAACCCTGCAGGGCCACAAGGACCCCCTGCCGCTGTAGGAGGTCAGAAATACCAAGAGCTCATGGTGTCTGCTAGTCTGGCGGGGAGAGGGCAGGGGGGTTGGGGCACCATGACTCAAATGTACCTTCACTGCTTCTTCAGGATGGTTTCCACTACCAAAGTCCAGGGAAGGACGAATTGACACGCACACTGGGGGAACTAAGGAAAAGTACCATTAACCACACCCTTTGGAAGCCTGAAATACCCAGGGGACAGGGGGTCTTGTGGCCTGGGGTCGGCAATGTACACACTGCTTCTTCCACGGTGGTGACAATGGATTCTACGAACATCTAGAGAAGAACGAATTGAAATGCACACTTCAGGAAGTTAAAGCAAAGAACACTGTTTGGACATCTCGGGGGAGGGAGGGGGGAGGCCAAGGAAAAAGGAAGGAGAGCATCCAGGAGAAGGTTCAAAGAAACAACCCTGCTCGGAGAGTCTAGGAGCAGCATAGGAATTCTAAGTCCTGAAAACTCCAGGGCAGGAGGTCAGAGGGTAAGGGAGAGCAAGGTGAGGAGGTGACCACAAAGAGGTGAGGTGGACTCCCTGCAGGGAAACAGTGAGGAAGCCCTTGGTACACTCACATTAACCTTCATCAGGAAGACAGGGCGGGGGGGGTGGCGTTGGGGAAGGTGGGTAAAAGTCCCAAACACTGGACTTGGCCTGCAATGTACAATGTAAAATATAGTTACTTAGTTTTAGAGTTACCCAAATGGTATGCTCAATAAATCCAGTTTCTTAGTCTTATTTTATTGTAATCATATAGCCTTCTGTTTCAGATCTAGCTGTGTGGTTCCACTAGATTTAGTTCTTCATCTGACCATTGCATGCCAGCATTATCTCCAAACATGTTAGATCAAATAGTGCTAAAGTATATCACCTCGTACTGATCTTCTTATACATGTGTGAGAGTTAGAGCTATGAATGTGCTTACTAGAGCTATTCTATTTAAAATTTATTGTTTTAACATTTTTATTAGTATATACTGATTGTACAGTGTGGGTTATTTTTATTGTGATAGTTCCATACATGCATATAATGCACTTTGATCAAGTTCACTCCAACATTACTCTCTTGTCTTCCATCTCCTGCTTTTCTTAAATACATTGTAGCATTTACAAAGGTTCTTACAATGTATTAAATGTATCATACTTGAATTCCCCTCCACAACTTCTCCTGTTTCAACAGGTATAATTTTTGCATTTACATACATGTGTATACATTATTTACACCATATTCACCCTCAATCCCTTTCTTTGCAACCTCCTCCCTCCCACTGGTGCCAACCACACACACCCCTCCAGCCTCTTGTTCTCCAATTTTGTAGAAGAAAAAACACAAGATAAAACAAGAAACATGACGTTTGCTAGTTATAGATAAAGATAGCTACACAGCGAGTTTCCTTGTGTTGTACCCATGCATATGTGTATTATAGTCGTAATTGATTCGCCTTTGCCAGTCCTCTTCACTACTCCTTAGTCTGCTTCCCATGGTGGCCCCACCCAGTTTAAAATGTCTACATTCATTCTTGCACCTTGAGCACATCAATCTCACTCCTTTGCACAGCCTCCCCTTAGTGTGACTGTCCCATAATATTACTGTGTTTGGTTTAGATCTACAGTCCATATATGAGGGAGAACATGTGGTTTTTGGCCTTCTGAACCTGGCTAATTTCACTTAAGATGATATTCTCCAATTCCATCCATTTACCTGTGAATGAAAAAATTTCATTCTTCTTTGTGGTTGAGTAAAATTCCATCTGCACAAATACCATTTATTTATGGATTTTCTTAATCCATTCATTAGTAGTGGGGCATCTTGGCTATTTCCATAGTTTGTCTGGTTTTGGGATTAGTGTGATACTGGCTTCTTAGAATGAGTTAGGCAGTGTTCCTTCCCTTTCTGTTTCATTGAAAAGTTTAAGTGTGTTGGCATTAGGTCTTTTTTAAGGCCTAGTAGAATTCAGCACAGAATCCATCAGGTCCTGGACTTTTCTTTTTTGGGAGACTCTACATTGCTGTTTCAATTTTAGTACATGTTATAGATCTGTTTAGGTGGTTAATATCTTCTTGGTTCAGTTTTGGATGGTAAGACCAAGATTTCTAATTCATTACCACCCATTTATCCAAAGTAAGGGCACAGTCCATTATTTTTGGAAGTTCTAGGGGAGAATCTTTTTTCCACCTTCTAGAAGTCACCTCTCCTTGGCTCATGCCCCCTTCCTTTATCTTCAAACAAGTAGGGTCACATCAAGTCCTTCTCAGATTCCATGTTTCTGGGTATCTCCTCCCATTCCCTCTTCTTTTTTATTACACTTGGCTGGTCTGGAGATTCAAGAATAATCCCACAACTGAAAACTCTGCTTGTTTACAACCTTAATTCTCTCATTAGCTTTCATGTCCCTTGGTCATAACTTATATATATTGACAGATTTCAGGAATTAGAGTATACATTTCATTAGGGAACCATTATTCTTTCTAAGATAGTAGTTGATTTTCAAATTTCATTCTCAACTTCCTGACAACCAAAGGAAAAAAATTTAAACAAGCAAAATGATAAAGCCTATAATTCATTATACCAATTATGAAAGAGAAGTGAAGCTTTTCCTAACATTTGTTGAAAAACATTTATCAGAAAGGTCTTTCATGTAGATCAGTGAATATCATAGTGCAAAATGACATCACATCCATTTTTATGTGCAAATGAAAAATAATATTTCAAATGCCTTTCTGGCAGTGAAGCTTGCAAAGGTATATGATTAAACATTATTCAAAAATTTCTTCTCATTTAAAAAAATTCTTCATGCTGTCTTTACCTTATTCAGAAAATACTTGTTGAATTCATTTAAACTCTAGTCAAAGGCATCTTAAAATAATCAATGGTCTTTTGGGCATTAATAAAAAGTCTTTTAACCACAGAAAATTTAAGAAGATTCAATGGTTCTTTTATCTTACACTTTTTATGTTTTAAACAAATGACCAGTTCACTTCGTTTCAGAGCAGCTTACATCTTCCCTACCCGAAGAACAAAATTCACAAAATAATAACATGCAAAAATACTGTAATACAATGACTTCATAAAATGATCTATTTTGTCCAATTAAGGACCAAAAGTATTCAAATTCTAATAAAATTCTAAGGTTGATTTATTTTACATATGTTACTTTTTGTTAGTGCTGGGTTTTCAAGAAAAGCAAAATAAACATGCCAAATAAAAAGAATTTAATCAATGTGGAAACTGACCACTGCCTAGAAGAAGTCTACAGGAAATACAGTAAGTGTGAGCTATTAAAATAGAATTTGTTATACATTTGGATCAATAAAATGAAACTTTTCTAGTTAGAAAATGTTTTTCTTTTTGCCATGTGTCAAGAAAGATAAGTCTTGTTACTCCATTGAAAGGTTGTATTTACAGAATATATTGTTTGCAAAATAAAATTTAGAAGAAAACTTTTATTTCAAAATTTCAAAAATATAGCTAAAGATTCTGGGTTTGAGTTTTATTTAGTTTGGATTTTGTTCGTTGCATTTTTTTTTTTGACTTAGGGTATTGCTATATAGCCCAGGCTGACTGGAACCAATGATCTTCCTACATCAGCCTCCCTAGTGCTGGTATTATAGACATGAGTATATAAGGTAAAACAATTTAAAACAACCTATATTGATAAATACTTAATTTAAACCTAATTTTGGAAATGAATGAAGTTGCCTACAAGAAATTAGTACTTTTATAAAATATAGAATGTTATTTTGTATGAAATATTTGAAATAAAATTTTGGACTTATTATTAGGATCTTGGAAGTTATCACGCTATCCTGAAAACAAGTTAACAACTAAATAAACAAAAAGCATCAACATCTTCTTGGAACCTTCAAAGAGGAGACAAGCTTGTCTTTGATCACAAGCAAGCCACTGCCCTCAATATTGCAGATCCAGACAGGGGAATAAAGAAGATTATA